GTGGTTCTGCAAGCCCAGACACAAGCTCCCCAGCTCCTTCACTTTGCAACGAGCCACTCACTAGCCGGGGGGAATGACAGAGGTATCATGAGGAGCTTTCTTCTCTTGGCCTGGGAGCCCACTCTCTTGGTGGCACAGCCAGGTGACACATCAGGGTGAGAGCATGTTCCCTTTCTGGGAAAAGACTCAGACCTGAGGTCAGAGGAGATTCCAGGGTGAAGCTGAGCTCCTGCTTTCCCTCTGCCCAGATCCCCACTCGCCCGTGCGCCTGGGCTCTGTCGAGGGCCCCTCGCAGCCTGGAGTCTCCCTTAAACCCTCCTCCTGGAGTGGTCTTCTCTGGGCACCTGGCTGAAGGACAGCATTCCATTCCAGCTTGGGTTTGCTCTGCGAGTGGCCTTCTGACACACCACCTCTGTGAAAGCCAGGACCCGTCTGTCCTGGTCCCTGCTGTACCCCCAGCTCTTCCCAGGGTCTGGGACATTCTGGAAGTACCAACTGAAGACACAGCTGCAGGGCCTGGGGCTGTAGCTCAGTTGGTGGAGAGCCTGCCTCGCACGCACGGGGCCCTGGGTTCAGTCCCCAGCCCCCAGCACCACCACCAAAAAAAAAAAAAAAAAAGAGCTGTTTGGGATGTGGATCAAGTGGTAGCGCGCTTGCCTGGCATGCATGAGGCACTGGGTTCGATCCTCAGCACCACATAAAAATAAAATAAAGATGTTGTGTCCATCTAAAACTAAAAAATAAATATTAAGGAAAAAAAAAAAGTACCTAGCTAGCTAGTAAGAAGGCTGTTCTGGGTGTTGACCGAGCTGGAGAGCAAGCAGGGCTGAGCACAGGGTTTGTAGTCTGGAGGCCAGGGCCCRGGGACAAGCAGCAGGCTGCCACGTCTCCAGACAGTCTGACATGATGCTGCATTACCAGGACCACGACGTGGCTGGGAACTTATTTCCTCTTGCCGTATTTTCCAGTGTCTTTGGGAGTGAAAGAGAAGCCCTGGTTCGCTGATAACAGGTCTTTGCCCTCTGAACCAGGGACCACCGGTGTCCTGTMCCGGCCGGGGCCTGCTGGGGTAGGATATGGTGGCAGGTTCCACTGCGGTTATTTGATAGCTACCTTCCAATTATAGCCAGTGACTCTGATTTTCCGTTTCGGGTAGTAACAGGAAGTCTCTTTTTCAAATAAATTTACATAAGTAAAAGGATACCAGCTACAAGGAAAATAGCAATTCAGTGACAAAACAGGTGGTGGCATTGTTAACAGGGCCCCAGAGGGGGGGCGTGTGACTGAGCAGGAAGATGCCAGAAAGCCAGCATCTGGGGGAGTGGCCGTGCAGTCTGGCTCTGAACCCCAGAGGCTGCCCGGCCAGGGACAGGCCCCTGCCAGCAGGTAGAGTTGGTGGTCACTCAGCTGCTCCGAAGCAGCCTTGGCCAGTGGGCCGTGTGCTCTGAGGACAGCAAAGGGACGCTGGCCTCAGGACTGCAGCCCACCCTGAACTGAGCTTCTGCCTGGGGCCAGGAAACCAGAAGGGCTAAAGGCTCCCACCCAGGCCTCAACGCGGACCCTGAGCCCAAGTCCAGCCGGGTGGCCTCGCCAAGGGTTTTCTGGAATTTGAACCTGGAATCATTTGGTCTGCCTTGCCTGTCAAAGCATATCACTTTGATGTGGATGTCCCACGTCTGGTTCTTGCACTGTCCCTGTCTCCTGTGACCTTGAGTGACCCTCTGCAGGCCTCACTTTCCCCATCTATAAACAGAGATGAATTAAATGGCTTTGAAGGACCATTGAGAGGACCAGGGACGCGTCCCCTCCCCTCCCCTCTCCTCTTCCAGTATAAGGCTCAATAAGTGAAGTAYGAGCCACGGGTCCCACCGATCTGAGCTTACACCCCAGGTAAGTCACTTAGCCCCTCAGGGTGCCTGTGTCCTTCTCTGTACATGGGGTGGGAGCAGGGCCCACACGGGGGAAGCCTGCCTGCAGTAAGAGAYCCCCGGCATCTCTGGATGCAGGTCTCACCAGCGGGCCGAGTCCCATCCCAAGGGGAGGCCCCAGGACACTGGCTCCTTGGGCTTCAGGACCACGTGCTCAGAGCACATTCCGGGGAGAGGCTGGCATGGTGCYACCAGTGAGAGCCACCCAGGACCTGGGCTGGTGCACCCGTAAGAGACAGGGGCTGGGAAGGGGGAAGGCCAGGTGGGGAGGAGCCCAGGAAAGTACCTGCCCAGGCTCTGGGGTGATTTTCCTCAAGGGCCCCCGCAGTCAGTTTGCAGGGGGCGGGAGGGGGGTTGGAGGAGGGGTGATCTCGTTAAGGTGGCCATTCGGGCTGAGCAGGCCGAGGCAGGACTGAAGGTCTGCGTTTCCCCCAAGCCCTGGGGAGGCTGCTGGACCCCAGCCCCACCCAGGGTCTTGAGGGCAGGTACTCCTCWCCTCTCCTGTGGCCCAGCTTTTGTGAAAGCAGGAGAATTTCGGCCCAGCTTCCTTCCAGCTCCCCAAGGCCCCCTGGAACAAGGTCTAAGTGAAATGCACWGTGGAAAGGGCCCAGGAAAACAGGAAGTGGGGTATCCCCGTGGGTCACCGGGAGCCATGAGGGACACTCCCTGGGGCAGGGCCTGAGAATTCAAGGACTCATTCCCCAAACCCAAGAAATGAGCGGGTCTCTGACTCCTGGAGCAAATGGCAMGTGTCAGGAAGAGATGGCCATCACGGTCATCCAGGACAACCACAGTGGACGAGGACACTGTGCACATGACCAGCAGAGACTCCACCRGACCCACGGGCTACAGCTGTGGGGAGAACTGAGAAGAGCATGAGTGTCATGCGCTGGGCTCCCAAAGCTGCCCTTTGTGGCGGCTCCTGATTATTCAGGAGCTGGAGTGATCCTTTCCCTGAGAATCATGTCAGGATCCAGTCCTTCTGCAGGTGGTAGTGATGGGGGACACCCCTCTACGACTGTGTAGGTATTTCTACCCCATATGGGTATTTTCTCTGTGTGTGCACGCCACACACACACACACACACACACACACACACCCCATATATTTGTGACTTTTGAGATGCACAGCGTCTTCACCTTATGCTCCTTCTTGACCTAGATCCACGCTGACTTCCTTTAGAGAGAACTTGCAATAGCAGTTGCAGGAACACCTCCAAGTGAAACCGCTTCAACACGACTGCTCTTCTGGAGCTATTTTGGACCACACTGTTGTACTCAGCCCCCAAACGTGGGTGAGCACAAGCTTGCAGTCCAAATTCTCTGACATCCCCCCCTCTACCCATGCCAAGCTTGATTCATACCCATGTCCTCTTGTCCCTCCCTGCCCAGCAGGTGTCTTCATCCACTTTTATTGTTGCTATCACTGAAGAGCACAGACTGGGACATTTATAAAGAACAAAGATTTAYTCAACTCAGGGTTCTGGAGGCCCCACATCTAGGGGATGCAGCTAGTGAGGACCTTTCTGCTCATGAGGATGCAGAATCCCAYGGCAGGGCGGGGATCACCAGGCAAGACAGAGCAAGTGGGTCAGCTTGGGTCTCTCTTCCTCTTTTAAAGTCACTAATGCAATCATGGGGTTCCCACCCTAATGGCATCACTGATCCTAACTGCCTCCCCAAAGTCCCACCTCCAAAAACCATAGGTTAAGTTTCTACCCTCCTAATACCTCACAGTGGGGATTAAATTTCAGCATGAGTTTTGGCAGGGACAGTCCACCCAGAACGGTGGTAGGTTTCTCTTGCATTGACTCTCACATTGGGGACCTAACTCTTTGGTCTCCCAGTCTGCTGGAATCTCCTATGAAACTCTTCAGTGTTTGGGCACTTTTTCTTTCTTGGTGAATATTTGGTGCATTTTACAATTGAGACTATTYTATAGTTGATGAAATAATTTGTAGTTTCAGTAGGATCTTCATAATAGCAGAGTCACGACTTTTATTTCTTTCATTTAACACTCTAATTTCCCATATGCCCTGGCTTTCAAGAAGTCCAACATATTCCTGCTTCCAGGGTCCTTCTCCTGGAGTAAACAGAGACACAGGAGGGTTCTCTTTGTCCAAAGCGCCTRTGTTTTGTTCTCATCCTCAGGAAAGAGCCGGGATTGGGCCACACAGTGGTTGCCACAAGGTGTCGCTGTTGAACAGACTCTGGTGTAGTTTAGTGAATGCTTGTCCACTGCTACCTTGACCTGGGCCATATCCCACACTGGCCAAAGTAGTGCCCAACATTAAAGTTTCCACATTCTGGCCTGGTAATTTTGGCCAGATAGTTTAATTTAGGTCTTCAAGGGCTTCCAGGCTCAGATACACATTGGCCCAATTCAGCCTGTACCGTTAGCTCAGGTCATTGGTGTGGCTCTCCACCCCACTCTGGTGTCCATGGTGTGAGTCCTTTCCTGATAGTAGACAGTAGGCCCCACACTATCAAAGAGGTTCCAGGAACTCTGTACCTCAAATGGAGAGCTGTTGAGAATTCAGTCTGTTTTCTACCCAGAGGCCCCATTGCATGTTCTTGTTCCCCCTCCTTCCAGGGCTATATCTACATATCTGGGGATGCCATATGAGTGAAAATCCACCCTCAGGCAATGTGTTCTAGCATCCTAGCCGGAGAGGTCTTTGGAACTTCCCTTTCTAAAAATGCCTGTCATTGAATCTTATGACATGATAGCTTTCTGGCCCAGCATCCTCCTCCCACCCTTCAAAGACCGGTGTAAAGCCTTCACTGTGGGGGCTCTGCAGGGGGAGAGGCTGTCCTGGAGGGACAACAGGAGAGCCTTTGATTTGCCGAGTGAGGTCTGCATGCTAAGGGGAAGAGCAAGAATATTAGGATAATGAGTGGGTCTTTTTTTTTTTTTTTTGGTCTTGCAGATTGAACCCAAGGGCACTTGGCCACTGAGGCACATCCCTAGCCCTTTTTTGGGGGCCTCCACACCCGGCTGGGTGGGTCTACTTATAAGCATAGGAGCAGCAAAAAAAAAAAAAAAAAAAAAAAAAGACCCAGGGCAGTTGGAGAGAGCCCTCTGCCATGATTAGTCCATGATTCGTGATGCAAACCTCTCCTCCGGCTTCCCACAAAAACATCAGTAAGGTCCACAGCCCTCTCCAACATTTTTTTGCAGCTGGTTTTGTGGTTTGGAGATGAAGGCAGCCTGTCATCAGGAGACCTAAGCAAGAAACACAGGGGTCCCAGGAGCACCTCTGTTCTACACAGATCAGAGGGACTTGCCCAAAGTCACTCACTCAGCAAGTCACAGCTCCCAACAGGTCCTCCCGTGAAAAACGCAGCCCACGCAGCCCACCGGAGCCACGGTGGCCCCTAGTCTCCCTGCCAGGTGCCCGGCTGGCTCAGGACAGATACTCCCGCACCGTGAGCTCCTTGAGGGTGAAGCCCCGGTGGGTGGGCTTCCGGAGCTGGCTCTCCTCCAGCCTGCCCTGCAAGGACACGAAGTCCTTGCCCARCACGTAGGCCAGGCGGATCATGGCGTCCAGCAGGGGCGCATAGTAGCGATGGCCTTCCCGGGCCTGCAGGCACCGCAAGGCCCGCTCCCCGGCGGCGAAGGCCTCGGCGGGGCACTCCAGGTCGCGGTGGCACACGAGCATGGCGCAGAGCGCGGGGACGGCGGCCGTGGGGCAGTGGGCCGTGAGCTTCTCCTGCAGCGGCACCACGTGCACCAGCAGGTCGAGCGCGCGCGCGTACTGGCCGGCGCGCAGGCAGCCGAAGGCCTCGCGCAGTTCGGGCCGCGTAAGGAAGTCGGCGAACTCGCGCGAGCGGCGCACGCAGCGCAGCGCGTAGAGCAGCCCCAGGTACTCCTTGAGCGCCAGCTTGCGCTCGCAGATCATCTCCTCCGAGAAGTTCCCCGTCAGGCGCTTCCGGGGGAACACCACGTCCTCCATCTCCTCCCGGAACGTCTTCAGCAGGTTCTTGTGCAGCCTCTCGAAGTCCGAGTAGCGCCGATCCAGGACAGCCTTGTTGCTGTCGAAGCTCCCCGTCTGGATGACCACGATCTGGTACATCTGCGGGACAGGTGGGGCCGGGCACACCTTTGACTATGCGCAAGCAGGTGAAAATGGCAGAGCCCCCCCGCAAAGGACAGTAACGACGAGGATACCCTGCAAATGGGTCATCCTTATATGCAATTCTGTTCTAATTGCCCTCGCCATCATCTGAGCTGTAAAGGGGCTCAGGACAGACACCAACCCTGCAGTAACAAATACCGCACCATGGAGGCAGCTCGGAGGAAAAAAGATACAGGAACCAGCCCTTGCAGGGGGCCTGGGGACCCTTGTGGYTTTCCCTCATCAAAGCTGGGCCTCTGCGATCTGAACTGGGAAGTGGGTCAGAGCATCCTGCACACACACTGGTAGTGATGGTCCATCAGGAAATCATTGTTGGAATTCTCCTTCAAGAGAGTACTGGCGGGCTGGGGCTGGGCGCGGTGGCAGAGCCCTTGCCTCGCATGGCATGTGTGAGGCACTGGGTTTGATCCTCAGCACCACATTAAAAATAAATGAATAAAATAAAGGCATTGTGTCCATCTACAACTAAAAAAAAAATTACACACACACACACACACACACAAAGAGTACTGCTTAAGGGTACAGACTCTGGAGCCAGACAGCCTGGGTTATAATTCCAGCCCCATCACAATCTAGCTGTGTGGTCTTAGGTAATTTATCCTCTCTGAGCCTCACGTTTCTTATCCATAAATTGATGATAGGAATAGTACCTACTTCAATCACTGTATGTGGATTAAATGAGTTAATGCACTGAAACCACATGGAACTGTGCCCAGCATGCAGTCAGCACGCAGTGGTAGCTATAGTTATTGTCCTGGTTCCAATTAAGTGGAGAAGAGGGGTCAAGTGTGGCCCTTCCTAACACAGGCTGGAATTCCAGCCTCACTAAGACAGCAGCCCCCAGGTACAGAGYTGTCCAAGGCCCTAGTAGCCAGCCAATTGAATTACGGTATTTAGTTTTCTTTGTCATTTACATTTGTAGTTGTAGTTCTTTATGCCATGTGATCCTGGTTTTCCATTTAAATATATTCAGTGTTTTAAAGAAGGGATCCAAGTTATGGTGGCAGATGCCTGTAATCCCAGCAGCTCGGGAGGCTGAGGCAGGAGGATCATGAATTCAAAGCCAGCCTCAGCAACTGTGTGGTACTAAGCATCTCAGTGAGACCCTCTCTAAATAAAATACAAAACAGGACTGGGGATGTGGCTCAGTGGTTGAGTGCCCCTGGGTTCAATCCCCAGTAAGCCCTCCCCCCGCAAAAAAAAAAAAAAAAAGAATTGATCCACTCTAAAGAAAAAAAAATTAAATAGTAGTAAAAGACACAAGGTTAGGACAAAATCCAGTGGAGAGGGATGAAGATGACTAATCCGGGATCACCTGGGCTTCAGTGGGCTATTTCTTAGGGTCAGGAAGCTGGACTCCTACCTCTCTAATTTTCACAGAATCTAGCACAGTGCTCTTTGGCACTGCTCTGGAAGAACTCTGTGAGTTAAAGTCTGTCAACCCATTTCGTGGTTGGGGAGGTCGAGGTCTTTCCCAGGGCCATTTGAGAGGGCTCCATCACTTCCCCATCTCAGCTTACCACAAACTTGGAGACCTTTCCCTCCTCGATGCGGGCTGAAGCGATCTCAAAGAGCAGCTTGACGTGCTTCCAGCGGCACTTCTCCTTCTTCCAGTACTCCTGCAGCTCCCGGGTGGTCATGCTGGAGTTGGAGCTCGGACTGGGGTGGGCACCTGCAAGGACAGCCTCCTTAGGGATCTGCACCAGGGCTGTGCACTTGAGAGGCAAGGGCTTGGGGCGGTGGCTGGTCTGTCTTGGAGGGGGCATCAGGATTCGGAGGAGCGGTAATTATCCCCTCTGCTCACCCTTACATTTATGAAATTGAGTGTGGGGGAGGGCATCAGCCAGGTGCCTGCATCCAAACTGGCAGAACCCACCCACTGCTGACGACTTCAAAGAGCCAATCGCCACAGCTGGTTTTCTGATAGTGAAATGTGGTCCGGGCATGTTGCAGAGGCCCTCCGGCCTGCAGATCAGCACTGTGCAGCCCTGTACTGCTGACCGTACCCTGCCTTGTCTACCTGGGCACTGCCTGCAGCACCGTCTGTCTGTGGCTGCCCCAGGACTCCAAGCACACRCCAGAGCGGTGGAGGGAGCTGCCAAGATGCTGGGTTCCAGCCTCAGCCTGGCCCRCCCCTCCTCACCCTTGCTCTTTGCCCACTGGCCTGCTTTTTCTCCCATGGGCCACTTACCTGCTTTGAACCCAACCCTCCCATTGCCCTATCTGGAAACCAACTCTGTTTCTTTCTCTTTTTTTGGTGTTTGTAATCTCTTAAAAAAAATTATTTATCCTAATTTGTTGTATATGACAGCAGAATGCAATTCAATTCATCTTACACAAATAGAGCACAATTTTTCATGTTGTTACAAAATAGAGTCACACCATTCGTGTTTTTATAAGTGTACTTAGGGTAAGTCTCATTTCACCGTCTTTCCTATCCCCAAGCTCCCTCCCTTCCTCTTCCTCCCCTTTGCCCTATCAAAAGTTCATCTATTCCTCCCAGGCTGCCCCCAACCCCCATTATGAATCAGCCTCCTTGTATCAGGGAAAACATTTGGTATTTTTTTTKGGGGGGGAGGGGATTGACTGACTTAGCATTATCTTCTCCAACTCCATCCATTTACTTGCAAATGCCATATTGCTGAGTAATATTCCATTGTGTATAAATGCCACATTTTCATTATCCATTCATTTACTGAAGGGCATCCACAGTTTAGCTATTGTGAATTGTGCTGCTATAAACACGATGTGGCTGTGTCCCTATAGTATGCTGATTTTAAGCTCCTTTGGGTATAAAGCAAGGAGAAGAATAGCTGGGTCAAATGGTGGTTCCATTCCCAGTTTTCCAAGGAATCTGCATAGTGCTTTCCAGAATGGCTGCACTATTTTATAGCAAYGAATGAGTGTACCTTTTTTTCCCACATCCTCACCAACACTTATTGTTGTTTGCATTCTTAATAGCTGCCATTCTGACTGGACTGAGATGAAATCTTAGAGTGGTTTGGATTTACATTTCTCTAATTGCTAGAGCTGTTGAATATTTTTTCACATATTTTGTTGGTCAATTGTATCTCATCTTCTGAGAAGTATCTATTCAGTTCCTTGGCCCATTTATTGATTGGGTTAAGGTTTTTGAGTCCTTTATATATCCTAGAGATTAGTGCTCTATCTGCTGTGTGTGTGGTACCAACTGTGTTTCTGAAACCTCCCCTTRAGACCTGAGTCCCTCTGAGAATCTTGAGAAAGCTTAGAATCTTTCTCTACTAAAATTGTGCAAGTAATTGTGGATTTCTTTTTTTGTGTGTGTGACTGATGTGGTCCCCAGAAGCCCTGGCCTAGTGTGTCCACCTGCCTACGTGTCACTTCAACTGCTCCTTGGCATTCCAGTCCTTCCCACCTTGTTCCAGCAGCTGTGTGTGGCACTTCTAATTGTTTGGCATGGGTGTTTCCCTGAGGAACCAGAGGCCAGGACCGTGGTTTGTTCTCTGCACTGAGCACAGCAGGTTTTCAATGGGTCCATCTTGAAGGACTGTCGGGAGAGACTAGTTCCAGGAGGTGGTGCTGTGGGAGATATCAGTGCCTGGCCGGGGCCTTGGCACTCATTGTCCTGGAACATGCTACTGGCTTTCTAGGGGAAGCACTGGACTCCCACCTTAAGGGCTTTCTGGGGCCATAGGGACAAGCACAGGGGCCTCCCTCAGCTCAGGCGGGATGGGACTGCTGTCTCACAACTCTGAGATACGTTCCACCACACGCCCTCCTAGAAGATTCCTTTGGGAGTGAGCCTGTCACCTGCCCAAGTCATGGGCTCACTGGTACCCTGGGTGGCTCCCTGCTTTCCCCATCCTCATTTCCCGTCCCCTGCCCTTGCCTCCTGGTCACCGACCACATAAGTAACTAGCACCAACCCTCATCCCAGGGTCAAGGGTGACCCAGGGTAAAAGAGCTGCCAGGCTGTCCTGCACCCATTCGTCRTAGGCGCCCACGTTTGTACTTCAAGTGTCTTTAAACCTGTCCCCCTCACTGAGTCCCAAGCTGCAGGCCCACCTGAGTGTTCTCTAGGTCCTGGGCTTGGGAGATCTGGGTCCGAGGTGGGTGCTTCCTGCTTGGTCTTGGCAGCACACTGGGTTACGGGTCCTGTCCAGCCAGGGCTCCCAGGGTGCTCAGGACATGCCATGTTCCAAGGCTGCCAGGGCAGAAGAGAGATCAGTGAGTGCCCATTCATGCTGGGGCTCCCAGAGGTTCCTGGGTCCCTAGGACACATATGGTACTGTCTGCTCAGTACAGAGGGAATGACAACACTCCCCCCAGCCGACCCTCCACTGCCCACCCAGCTGCAAGATCCACACCTGGGTCTGCCCTTCTGCTGGACAGATGGTTCCAAGGTGACATAGACCCTTCTGTTAGGATTATGATCCTTGTACTATCAAGTTGCTCTTGATTTTAAATGTGGTGACTTCAAGCCAAGATAATGGCTTTAACGATTATTTGGGAGAAAGATTCTGGCTTGTCTAGTTAAATGCCCCAATGCTCAATTTTAGATTACTCTGTGTGTATCATCTAACATCATCTATCTACTATCTATTATCTATCTACGAATCTGTCTATCATCTATCATTACCTATCATCTATCATCTACCATTCATCTATCATCCATCATCTATTACCTATCATTATCTATCATCTGTCTACCTATCATCTATCATCTACCTATCAAGTTACCTATCTATCATCTATCTACCAATCATGTATCATTTATCCTATCTTTTCTATTTCTGTACCATCTATCTATAATCTATACATCACCTATCATCTATCTATTTATAAGGAAACTTTTACTGACAGCTTATTTGGCCCACTTCTTAGTCACCTAGTTCTTCATATTCCTTGTCTAATTTACAGCTCACAGAAATCTATCATTTCCCATAAATAACAGATGAGGATACAGAGGTCTAGCCCAAGGTCACGTGGCTGGTGAGTGTGCCCAGTGAGCAAAGTGGAACTTGTTTCCAACACTTCTCATAATGTGCTGGTGTGCACTCCGCATTCAACCCGCTCACTCTCTCACTTAATCTGACCACCATCGGAGATAGGGACTACTTTTATCTTCACTTTGTGATAAAAGAACTTGGATTTAGAATTGCCCAAGAGCAACAGCTGGAACCTGGTGCCAGGACCCACCCCCGCCCGGCTGACTCTGTCCTAGCCAGGCAAGTTGGGAGGGCAGTAGGTGGTAACCGAGTTCAGTGGATGCAGCCAAGTCCCAAGGCATCACAGCCGACCCGTCTGCACGAGGTGGGTGGACTGACAGGCAGACCTGGAAACAGCCAGTCAGGGCACACACACACCAGGTGCTTTGGGAAGTAGTTGTGGAATCAGGGTGTGAGCTGGAGTGGAATTCCACATCCCTGCACATCAGAAAAAGGGGCGGAGCATTCTGAGCAAGTAGCCACACAGCTCAGGCTAAAGGATTCAAGTGACCCCCTACCAGGCTTCATCACTGTGGGACGGTGGCAGTGGGTGAGGGGAGCTGGTCCTTGAACTCTGGACTGTTGGGTTCCAACCCCTGGGTCTGAACCTCCGGCTGGCTGCGGCCTTGAATGAACCCTGGTGGTTCCCTGGGGTCCCTGCTCCCGGGGTGAGGGCCTCTCTCCTCTGGCCTGACCTGGGGAGGGTGGGCTCGGCTGGGACTGGAGCCAGGCTTCAGGGGCTGTGGAATCCGAGCCCTGGCTATACTCCAGGTCCCCAGCTGGGCAGTTGTCTAGTGGCTGTCCCCAGGGCCCTTGATCCGACTTCTCCTTTCACAGATGAGCAAACTGGGGCACCGGGCAGGGGCCTGGTGGCCAGGACTGTGGGAGCTCAAGCCTGCTGCAGCTCACACACCTCAGCCATCTCGTTCTGTCCTCAAGGACTCAGGAGACCCAGCTTCCGTCCTGACCAACTGTGGCTCTTGGGCAGGTACTGTTTCCCCACCTGAAGTGTAGCCTCAAGCCCAGCCCTGCTGGGGATGGGTCCCCTGTATCATGCCAAGTGACCAAGCAAGGTGGCGGTGGTCCCAGGCTTTCCTATCTAATGGACTCTTGGTAACCGGGACTCCTTGGGGACRCAGTACTGTGGGCAGGCCTCTGCATGGGCCTCAGCCAGCCTATCTGTAAAATGGGTGACTGTGAATGGATTGGCCCCAAGGGTCCCAGCCCTTCCCGCTCTGCTTTCGTGATTGGGCAACTAGTGCCAAGTCAGCAGCAAGGCATGGCTTTCTCAAGAACTTAAAAGATCCCAGAAATGATGCCTTGGCTGGAAACTGCAGTACAGACCCGAGGAAGCCGAAACCTGGGCTTAGAATGAAAATCAAATTGAAGAGCCAAGGCCGGCTCACTTCGGTTTCCTCTGTGGGGCTGGCTGGGTGTCACCCATTTAAAAAGGAGTAGAAAGGGAAAAGTCATGCACTGGTGCCACCATGGGGTCTTGGGCAGCTTCCCATCCATGTCCAGGCCTCAGTTACTCATCTGTGAAATGGGACAGCAAAGAACTCTAAAGGTCTTTGGGGTCAGGCACATCAGGGATTCTGAGGACTCGTCCCTCCCTTCCCCATGGCCTCTGCTGAAACTATTTCTAAAYTTCACTATAAAACACTGAAGTGTGGGGGGCCAGCTTGGCCCCAAGGACAGAGCAAGAGCTGGTACACAGTGCCCGGACGCTCACCCAGCCTGTCTATGTATCGCTCCCAGCCCCTTGGCCCTCTGGCTTGGTGTGTGTGACAGTCATCCTCCCCCTCCTTGACTCCCAGGTCCCCTGACCCTCACTCCCTGCTTTGAAGACTCCTGCCATGTCCAGCCCTTCTGATGGGCACACAGGGCCATCTGCAGAGCCCACGCCTCCTTCCTGAGGGAGCGGCAGAGGCTTCTCATCAGGGATGAGTCTGCTGGAGTGCAATAACGCTCCCTGGCCTGCCCAGGAGGCAGAAGAATTTGGGACTTTGGATGCACAGCTGCCCTCACTGGAGAGAGGGTGGGCCCCACTGGACACCTGGACATTCCCTGAGAAGCCTGGCCAGTGGCAGGGACTCCCGCACATGCGTGTGCATCAGGATGCCCTGGTGGGGTGGGGTCTGGGAGCTGGTTCAAAAGCAGATTTCCTGGCTCTCGACACCCAGAGTCTCATCTAGTTCTGGGGTGAGCCCTGGGTTTGTGTTTTGTACCGAGTCCCCAGGGCTGTGCTGATGCCGGGTCCCAGGCACTGCTTTTTGAGAAACAGGTATAGTGACTTGTTCCCCAGGACCAAGAGGGCTTGGAAGAGTGCTGGCATCTCAAGAGGAATTGAGGTGATGGGAGGGGGCTGCTCCCTGCTCGGCCCCAGGGAGCTACAGGCTGTCACCACCCTTCCCCGTCCCACCCTCTCCCCAACAAGCATGGAGGGGGTCACAGGAGGAAGGGATGGAGCTCAGAGGCCACCTGAGCTTGGGATCAAACACTGACCTGAGGTCTTCGGGCCCTGAGTACGTCCAAGGGTCCAGGAGCGGGTCACATAGCCCCTTATTTTCTCGGTTCCAAGCTCCGGTAAGTGGTTGAGTGGCTTTTGCTTTGCTAAGTTCCCTGTTTGAAAACAGGAAATAGGCTGTGTGACCTGTCCTGACCGCCCCCGCTGATTGGCTGGTAAAAGGTGACTCTGAGAAGCCGGCAGACAGATGGCCTGTGGTCTTGGGTGGCAGTCTGTGGGTGGGGCAGCGTGGGGCAGGGCAGGAGTCTAGGCTGGCCTCACTGCTCAGCAGCCCAGCTCCGCGGAGGCCCAGACAGTCCCTGGCACTCCCAGAGTGGCTCCCAGAGCCCTTCGTGTTAGTCCTTTTCTGATGCTGTGAGGGAAGACTGTAGATTGAGAAATTGATAAAGAAAAGTTTTTCTCAGCTCACAGTTCTGGAGGCTGGGAAGTCAAGGCTTAGTGGCAGCCCTCGTGTCTGCCGAGGGCCTCCTGCTTCTAGTTCATAACATGGCAGAAGGAGAAAGGGCAAGCAGGTGCTTGCACAAGACGGCACCGCTCTGTCTAGTTAGCCACTCCCACATCATTGATCTATTCTGACCCATGACCCAGGCTTCTCTCAGGACCCTCTCGACCCAACCGCTTCTTTCAAGGCCCCACCTTCCAATCCTTCATTCCTCCAAAACACGAGATTGGGAGGCATTTGAACCCCAACACTCTTTAGTATTTATTGTTCTATCCTCTGAGCTTGGCAGGATGGGAACCAGCATGCCCCATTAACAGACGGGCAAACTGAGGGTCGGAGCACAAAGACGGTGGACAGAGTCAGTGCCTGATGTGGATGGGAATGTGATGGCCTCAGATCTTCATCTGGTGCAAGCCACGTCCAACACTACCAAAGGAAAGTGCCATAGAACTGATCCCGGGCAGCTAAGTGATCCACGGTCCTCGGTATTTGTGCCTCAAGGGCAAGAGGCTGGGTAGGAAAAAAGAAAAAGAAAGTGTGCTGCCTCCTCCTGGGAGTCCACCAGGTTTCCTGGGCCTGGCAGGGGCCATCAGAGTCCGGATTCTGATGATGGCTACCTCCTCGCTCTGGGAATTCACGGCCTATGAATAGATCCTTACACATCCCAATTTATTTCTTCTCAGTTTTGAATTCTATATAAATTGAGCCATCTATGCTGTATGTGTTCTTTGGCATTTTGCTTCTTTCATTCAACATTTACGTGTGTAAGTTTCAACACTTTGCGTGTGCGTGTGCGTGTGCGTTTGTGTGTTTGTAGTTGGAGTTTTTTTAAAAAAATTCTGTTGTAGCATTTCTACATTATTTTAAGGCATCGCTGTTTACCCTTATTTGGGTCTGTTGGTGCACATTTGAGAGTTTCGAGGATGGTGTSTTAGTCATCTTTTTATCACTGTGACCAAAATACCTGACAAGAACCACTTAGAAGAGGAAGTTAGTTCTGAGCCCACAGTTCCAGAGGTTCAGTCCCTGGTTGGCAATGCCATTTCTCTGAGTCCAAGTGAGGAACATCAGCAAGGTGCGGTGGAGGACAGCGGCTCAGGTAGCTGGGAAGCAGGGAGGGGGGAGGGGGAGAGAGGAGGAGGAGGAGAGAGAAAGAGGGACAAGATATAACACCCAAGGCAACTCCACCAGTGACCTGAGTCCTTCAGCTAGGGACCCCCTGTCTGTAGTTACCACCCAGTCGTCCATTCAGATTGTGAGTCCATCAGTGTATCAACCCACTGATGAGGCTCCAGCTCTCTTAATCATTTTACCCCTGAACATTCCTGTTGACCTAACGTGAGCTTTTCCAGGGGTGTCTCATATCCAGACCTTAACACAGGACCATCAGATCAATGCTGCTGGCAGAGTGGCCTGCTTATCCAGTACCTGTGACTACTGGAGGTGAGATTGGGTTTTAAGAGGGACAGCTGCAGCGGTATAGACGATTCCCAGTCGTCCCCCAGCATGGCTGTACCTTTTTGCAGTCCCCCAGCACAGGATGTGAGTTCCAGGGGCTCCAGCTTCTCACCCACATTTGACAGTGTCATATCATTATTTTTTTATTGTCACCCACTGATGGATGTTCAGTGGTATCTCATCACAGTTTCAACAACCGCATTTCTCTGAAGACTAACCATTTCTCCTGGGCTAAGTTCCCATCTCTAGCTCTTCCTCGTGATGTGTCCACTCAGATCCATCGCCCACTTTTTGTTGAGCTGTTTTTGATGGCGAGGAGGTATTCATTGTGTATTCTCTTTTGGTACCTGTGTCCTCAGTATCCTGTCCCTCCTCTGGTTTGCACTGGTACTTACCAGTGGGACCTTAGGATGACCAGAAGTGGCCAACTTTAAAGCCTTCAGCGCTATCGGCCTTCTCTGCAACAGCCAGAGCTGTGGCCAGTTCTTGCTCATCGGCTTCTGCAGCATCGTCCTGGTTGGTCCCAGGTGTGAGTTGAGATGTGGGCAGCACTTACAACAGCGCTCTTCTGGGCCACACAGCCCCTTATTCTAGCCCCTCGGTGTGTCCTTCTCTTTGGGCTCTAGGACGCAGGTTTACCTACTGGTCTTGTTTACTGAAGTGACCACCCAGCCCCACCTCCTGGCGGTACCTGGTGTCCTGAGTCTCCACCTGTGGAAAGGTCTGTCTGGGGAGATGCTCCAGGGAACTGCCCTGCAGGTGGCCTCCGGCTGCCAGCTGGGGAGCCCTTGGGCACAGGTGTGGCATCTCATTGGGCTGCGCCTCAGGTCGCCTGGCTGAGGCCTGTGCTGTGGCGATGGAGGGTCATAGGTGAGGCTGGACCGCCCTCCTCTGTCCTTCAGCTCCCCAGTTGCCTGGCCCGGCTCTGCCCAGCCTGGTGTGCCATGCCAGCTCCGACTCAGCCCTTCCCTTGGCCGGCAGCTCCCGGCCCGGAGTCAGCAGCCGCAGGGGACAGGGGACGAGTGCGCGGCCTGGCTTCTTCTTTGAGGGTGGGAGCCTTCTCTGGAAGCCCAGACGTGGAGGGCTGTCTGGCCGGGTCAGGAGGGCCTCGCTGGGTGCAGTGACTGGGAGCTTCTGCCGGGCCACCGGCCAGTGCCACTTTTCTCTGCAGCACAGCGCTATGTGTGGTAGGGAGCAGGAAGGGCCCTGTCTCGGGCCACCCGGGCACCTGGCTGAGGCCCGCAGCCAGGGCCTTGCATGACTACGGGGTCTCACCGTTCTGGAGGCTGCGAGGTTCACGATCAGGGTGCTCACAGAGTCCGTGTCGTGTCCACAGTTGGCCATCTTCTCATTGTACCCTCCCATGGAAGAGAGAGGGCACGCCTCTGTCAAGATTTGTCATTGGCACAGGGGTCTTTTCATAAGGACACTAGTCTCCTTCCCGGGGACTCCACTCACGGCCTCCCCTAGGCCCTGCCTCCCAATACCATCACAGGGGGTGTTGGATCTCAGCTGGATTTGGGGGGACTCAGTCCATGACAGGYAGAGAAGGGTCCACTGTCACGGCTGGGGTTGGGACACAACATGGTCACCCCCCATGGCAGTACTGAAGCCAGCTAGTGAGGAGAGGGCACCGAGGGGCACGAGGAGTAAGGGGAAGTGCTGTCCCCTCAGAGTCTCCGTGTCCTCTGTGCAATTCGAGATCAGAGCGGACCTCCCCTGCTGGGTCCCTCCGGTGGCTTCCGCCACATGCAGAATGAAGCCAGCTCCCCACCCGGCCTCTGTGAGCCGCTACCTGTTCTGGTCCTGRCCTCTGGGTCCTCCCCTGCCACCACTCCCCCACGCCCAGAGCCGCCCTGGACGCTCCTGGTGGTGCAAGCTCCTCCTGTTCCTCAACWGGAAATACCCTTTCTGGGGTTCTTTCCATGATGGACTCTCACATCCTTAGGTGACGGCTTTATTGTCACTCTCTGCGGGCCTCTGTCAAGATGTGTCATTGTTTTGCTTCTTTGCTTCCTTATTGATTGTCTGGCTCAAATGTCATCAGGGCAGGGACTTCACTGGGGTCCGTATTTCTGACCCAACACCCAGCACAGTGCCCGCCACCTGTGGGCACTGGAAGGAGTTGGGGTGGGGGTGCATGGGGGTGAACGTGAGGAGGGGCTGTCTGKGCTGGAACTCCAGATGAGCCCAGTGTCACAGCACAATTCGGGGTGGGCCGTTTCCCCTCTGAATTTTGGTTTTCCTAACTGCAACATGAGATTGAATCAGGTCCTCCTGCCGAATGCATTAGTAATTGAGTCCTAGAAATTCCTGCTCACTACCATTCCCGATGTCGGGCACACCGGGGACCATGATATTGAAACATTTTCTTTGAAAAGTTCAACAGGAATTGATCACCCCAGGTGCGTCTCCCCTCAGGTGGGGTGAAGCAAATCCAAACTGGTGAGGTGTTTTGCAGATGACGCAGGATGTGGGGTCCCATCAGTCTTGATTCCCACAGCTGGTGTGTGAGCAGAGGCAGTCAACAAGATTTCAAAGGTTCTGAAAGTTGCAGGACTTGGACGTTGCWGCCACAGGCAGAATGACCTGCGGGACACCACGGAGGTGGTGTTGAGGCACGGTGGGGTAAGACAGGCTGCTCCTGTGCCTCCTGTGTGGGGAGTGCCGGTCACTAAATGGAGCCTCCTGGCCCTCGATCCCCCTCTGAATGGCCAGGTCTGGTGTGTGTGACATTCTCGAGGACGTGGCAGAGAAAATCTGATTCTTCTTCTCAGGAGAAACATCCCTCCCATCCTTGGGCGACCTGTTGGTTCAGGTGGAGACTTGGACAGTACCCTGCTGGACGCTGGGGCCACCCTGTATTGTTTTAAAGGTCTYTTCCTTGCACAGGGCCCTGAGAAGAGCAGGGAGGGGTGGAAGTTGGGCYCCCTCCGCTGAAGATGAAGAAGGGCCATCTTCTCCTCAGAAAAGCGGTGAGTGTGGCCTGCCCACGAGTCCGTTCCTGACGAGGTGAGGAACTGGCTTTTCAAAGTCACTGTATTCTGTGGACGGAACATTTCATTTTGGGGAAGTGGGATTGTAAGCTTGGGGTGAGAACAAAGGGTTCAGAAAACAGAGGTGATTCCAACCGCAGTGGGGGAGAGAAAGCAGAGCGGGAGTCACAGCAAGGTGTCAGCGAGGGGGACGGAGCAGCCGGGTTATTTTGCTGGGGGTCTGGTGGCCTTGGCTGCTCAGGCTGCTGTGACAGACCCCTGGGGACTCTGGCTTATCCATTAGGCAGAGATTTCCTCCTCATACTTCTGAAGGCTCAGGAAATCCACCATCAAGGCACCCCCAGATGCAGCGTCTGCCGGGGGCCTGCTTCATCTTGAGTCACGTGGGGGAGGCGGGGAGGCTCGCTCCTGTACRAGGCTCCATCCTCCAGGCCTAACCACAGCCCACGGGCCCCAGCCCTGACCCCCTGGGTTTAGGATTCCAAGGGCTACGTTTAGGGGGACACTCGTGTCCAGACTGTAGCTCTGATCTTAAGCACAGCCTGCCCGGTCACTGGTGAGCTTGAGTTGGGTCAGGATTCCGGCAGGAGCAGAACTGCCCAGGAGGCCCAGACGCACTGGGTTCCCTGGGCTGGAGACAGCTCAGTGGAAGCTGCTGCCCTGGTGTGTCCTTCCCTCACGCCTGTCCCTCCTTCAGTAAGTCACTCAACAAACAAACTTGGGCCTACCACTGGGCCAGAGGCTGGGGTCCAGCCATGATAAATGGGAGCTCTGAGCCCCCAGGACTGACACTCTGGTGGGAAACAGGACAAACACAGGGGACATGAGCTGAATGGAAGGTCCCCTGAACTGATCACAGCGGGCGAGGCAGGGTCCTGTAGGGACGGCAGGGTCTCAGCATCCTCCTTGGGGAGGTGGTATTGAGGGGTAGGTAGGTTCCAGGGAAAGTGGGTAGAGAAGACATGGACTGGACTCGTGGTTCCACCGTTTAGTAGCTGGCTCATCTGGAACCTCGGTTTCTTCATCTTGACAGTAGGGACAAAGAACCGAACCTCGTCCATGAGGGAGGGGTGAGGATGGCCCTGGGAGTGCGGAGCCTGGGGTACCTAGTGCCCGTTACAGATGGCTTAGTGCTTACCACACGCCAAGCCCCCAACTTGTTAGGGTCTGTAAACAAGTCAGGATGGCGCCTGGCAAATGTTAGGGTCTGTAAACAAGTCTGGATGGCGCCTGGCATTTTGCCAGGGGGAGTGGTTTATGAGGTGGYGCCAGCGAGCCATTAAGTGTGGAGATTCCTGATTGGCTGACTGCTGTATCTAGTTTATGTTAATTAGATAAGCTGTGTGGAATGTATATATACCCCTCCTGTCCTACAATAAACGGCTCCCACTCCTGCTGTATCAAGGTACACAAGTTCCTCGTCACCCCCCGGTTATTTTGCTGCAGCCGGACTGCGGCACCAACTAACTCATGGCAAGACCTAAGTGGATGGTCATCTCCACTGAGCTTTTAGGGAGACTGAGGTCAAGAGGGGCTCAGCAGCTGGCCAAGGACAGGCAGCTGTCCAGAGGCAGAGCTGGGGTTCAAAGCCAGTTTTGCTCGAGCCCAACGTCCCTGTCCCTGCAGCTTCCACCTGTTGCCACCCACTGGGGCACAGAGTGAGCGAAAACTCAGAGCCAGGCACAGCCCGAGCCCGAGGGAGCCGTGCAGCTGGCGGGGTGCCCTGGGTGGAGGGGAGGCAGGTCCTGTGCTGGCTCATGGGGGTTGTGGAGGGTGTGGAGCCTGGGGAGTGGGGGCTGCTGAGGGCAGGTCTGCCTGGGGACTGCTGCGCAGCGGGACAGCAGGTGGGCACCTGTGTCCACGCAGCCACAGGTGCTGGGCTGTCCCCTTCCAGAGGCCTGCAGTAGAGGGTCCCAGCTCCCGAGAGCAGCCGCAGGCCGACTGTTCCAGGCAGCTCCCACACGAGAGAGTCTTAATGACCAAACCCRGAGGTTTGTCTGGAAGAGGACAGGTCCTGGCCAGAGGGTCCCTAGAAGCTTTGGTCACCTGCTCCTTCTGAGCTCTGCACGGCTGCAGCCTACGTCAGAGCCCTTGGGAATAGAAGCATTGCCATGGCACCCTGATTGCCTGTCCCTGGCATAGGGCCTGCATACAGAGAGTTTTAAATGGATGCCCTTTAACACATTGGAATTAAAAAAAACACATATTATTATACAGGTAGTCCGTGCCTATTAGGAAAGATGGATTATCTTAAGAGTTTTAGAAATGCACTTATAATCTAATCATAAATTTGAAGAACCATAGATTCTTATTGCAAAAGTAGGAGCATACAATAAAAATGTTTTTTAATTGAGATATAATTCACAAACCATAAAACTCACTATTTTAAGGCTCACAATTCAGTGTTTTTACTATATTCATAAGGTTATGTAACCATCGCCATTATCTAATTCCAGAATATTTTCATCGTGCCAAAAAGAAACAGTACGTATTAGCAGTCTCTCCCCATTCTCCTCTCCTCCTAGTACCTAGCAACCACGGATCTGCTCTCTGTTTCCATGGACTTGCTTATTCTGGTCATTTCATATAAATGGATTCATGGAATACATGGCATTTTTGTGTCTAGCTTCTTCCTTTTAAGCATAATGTTTTCAAATTTCCTCCATGTTGGAGGAGGTATCAGTACTTTGTTCTTTTTTATGGCTGAATAATATTCCATCGTATGGACCTATTACCACTTTTAAAAAATCCATTCTTCAGTTAATGGGGATGTGGGTTGTTTCCACTTTTTGGATATTACTTCTATAAACATTTGTGTGCAAGTTTTGTGTGCATGTCTGTTTTCAGCTCTTGAGCATATACCTAGGTGGGGATTGCTGGAGCAGATGGTAACTTTATGTGATGTTTAATATTTTAAAGAACCATCCAACTATTTTCCACAATGACTTCACCATTTTTTATTCCTGCCAGCAAYGTATGAGGGTTCAAATTTCTCCACATTCTTTGTAACACCTGTTATTTTTTTCTCCTTTTAACTATAGCTACCTTTGTGGGGGTGAAGTGGTATCTCACTCTAGTTTTGATTTGCATTTTCCTTCTGATTAGTAATGTCTGGCATCTTCCTCTGGGTTTGTTCCCCACTTTTATATCTTCTTTGCAGTAATGTCTACTTAAATCCTTTGCTCATTTAAAATTGCATTAGTCTTTTAAAAATTATTTTTAGGGATCTTCAATGTAGAATATTCTAGATTCAATATGCAAATGTTTTCTCTCATTCTGTTGGTTGCCTTTTTTTCCTTCCTTCTCTCTCTCTCTCTCTCTCTCTCTCTCTCTCTCTCTCTCTCTCTCTCTCCTTGCTGGGGATTGAACCCAGGGCCTCATAATGCTCAGCAAATGCTTTACGACTGGGTTACACCCCCAGTCCTCTGCTCTTGTTAGCATCTTTTGAAACATACAAGTTTGTAACTTTGACAAAGTCCAATTTACCTAATTCTCTTCTTTGGCTGTGTTTTAGGTGTCAAACCTGAGAAATCATTGCTTTGAGGTCACAAAGATCTAATTTATGTTTTCTTCTAAGATTTTAGCTTTTGTGTTTAGGTCTTTGGTCCAATTTGGATTAGTTTTTGTATGGAGTATGAGTAAGAATCCAAATTCATTTTTTTTTGCATATGCGTATCCAGTTTGCCCAGCACCATTTGTTGAAAAGACGATTTTTTTTTTCCTTCAAATTGTCTTGTTAAAAAGGAACCTACTCGGGGCTGGGGTTGTGGCTCAGCGGTAGAGTGCTCGCCTAGCACGTGTGAGGCCCTGGGTTCGATCCTCAGCACCACATAAAATAAAGACGTTGACCATCTACAACTAAAAAAATAAATTTAAATAAAGCAATCTACTTTTAACATTTAGTGTATTATGGGCATCTTTCTATACTAATAAATGGACAGTATAGTATCTTTTAAAAATAAATTTCTATAAAAATATAATGTCCATAAAGGAAAATGCAAATATCATGATTGTTAAACTTGACCAATTTTCACAAAGTATTTGCACCATGCAACCACGATTCAGAGCAAAAATAGCACCCCAGAATTCCCCTTTGTCCCCGATCCTCGCCACCACCTCCAACCTCCGACCCCCTCCCCAGTGGTAGCTTCCACCCTGGCTCCTACCTCTGTAATTTGGCTTCCCCTGCTTTTGAGCTCTATGTAAACGATGTCGCACAGTTTGCATGCTCTTTGCACCTGGCTGCTTTCACCCAACATTCCACCAAGGCCGAGGGACTCCTAGGATGTGGAGTTGTCACAGGTTGTTAGGTTTACAGCATCACTTCTTAGTATTTTTACTTTGCAAATATTTACTGCATGCCAGGCCCTGTTCTAGGCCCTGGGAGGGGGTGGGAACAAGGAAGAAGGTTCCTGATCCCTTGGAGTGAGAGAGACAGCAAAGGTTATAAATCAATAGAACACAGAGCCTGTTGGGTGGAGGTGAGTGCTAAAAAGGAAAACCCAAAATAAGGCCAGGAAAGGGGCAGTGGGGGATTGCAGTTGACACCTAATAGTCAGGGAAGGCCTCACTGAGAAAATCACAYGTGAGCAAAGACCCGAAAGAGGTGAAGGAGCAAGCCACGTGGGTTTCTAAAGGAAGAGCATTCCAGGCAGAGGGGACAGCAAAAGCAATGGAGACCATGGCAGGTTTGCCATATCTCAGGAACAGCCGGGAGGCCAGTGTGGCTGGAGGAGCTGGAGTCAGGGGAAAGTGGGGCTGCGTTGGTCASGGTTCTCCAGGGGGACAGAGCCCATGGGATGGGTAAGTAATTATAAAAGGGGAGGCACATGGCTTACAGGGTCAGAGGCTGGGTACTCCCACAATGGCTGTCTATAGGCTAGAGAGCCGGAGGAGCCCGCAGCCGCTCAGTCCAAGAAGCTGAAGCCCCAGAAGAAGAGGGACCAGTGAGGCAGCCCCCATGAGACAGAAGGTCTGGGAGCGCCACCAAGAGTCACCAACGTGAGTCCTCAATTAAAGGCAGAAGAAACTGGAGTCTGCAGGTGGTGGCAGGAGCCAAAAAGAGCACTAGCTCAAGAAGAATGAGCTTCCTGTGCTGGCACGCTCTSGCCTCCTTCTGCCTTTTGTCCCACTGGGGCCCACGTTGAAGGGAGCCCCCACCCCCACTTTGCTTACCCACATCCTGGTCATCTCTGCAGGCACATGTGACAGACAAGCTGGTGGTCAACGTCCTAAGACAGATCTGTACCCACCCACTCGGGCCCCTAAAGCAGCATGTGCCCTCCTCAGCAGTGTGGGGTAGCGGTCAGAGCATGACCTCTGGTGTCAGAGTGTGGGGCTAATGTCAGCCTTGGCAGGTTACCTGGCTTTTATGTGCCTCAGTTTCTTTATCAGCTAATACCCAGTAGGTGGGATTAACTGAGTTAACCGTGTAAAAACGGATGATATATAGTAAGCACTACTCCAATGTCCGTTATTTCCTTATTTCTCATTATTTTTCTTTTGAGTTAGATTTTGCTTTCTTAAAAACCTCAAATAAGTGTTTTTTATTTTAACACCTTAAATGTACAACCATCGTCGTTTGCTTGGAAGAATAAGTTCTAAAGTAACTCTCAATTAAACACAACCATGCTCTTAAATTCCAGGAGGGATGGCTGCAGGGCCCGTAGGCCAGACTGCGAGAGGCCGGTGTTTAGGCCCCGTTAGCACGAAACCTGCGTCCTCCGGCCTCAGCTTTCACAGGAAACTGAGCAAAGAGAAGCGTAAAGGCCCTGCCCACTCTGACCCAGCCTGTCATCTGGGTCCCGTACAGTAGGCCAAGGTGACTAAGACTTCTGGTCCCTCCACGGGCGCGTCGTTTCCTACTGACCACGGACTTTCCCAGCCTGTTCCACCGCGCAGGGCCCGGGGTGCGCGCGTGTCTCCGGGCGGGCCGGGGTGGGGCCTGCTGCCAGGACTCCCCGGTTCCCTCCGGCTTGAAATGTGGCCCAGAAGGTGGCACACACTTCGCCAGGGAACAAGGCCAGGGTCGCGCAGTCCCGCCGGCACCATGTCCTTCGGGTCATAGGATCCACGYGGTCCCAGGAGGGGACCGGCCAGCCCACCCGGGGACCGCAAGGAGCTGGAGGCGAACAGCCTCCTCGCGGCGGAGCAGGGCAGAAGTGGGCGGGGCCGAGGGCGGCCGAAGTGGGCGGGGCCCGGGAGGCGGGGCCGRGGGCGGGGCGAATCCTGGACCTGCCGGATCCCCTAGTGCAGGGCGTCCCGCTGGGGCCCGAGGATCCGGGTGCCGGCCGCTGGGCGGTGAGTGCTCGTCCAGGCGCCGGGAAGGCAGGCGGTCAGTGGGCACCGAGGGTCCCGCCCCGGGGTCACTTGGCTCCGGAGCCAGGCTGGCCGCCCGGCTTGGGGAGGAGTTGCCTCGGTTTCCCCCAGGGGAGGGAGAAGAACGGGGCGTCGCGAGGGCGGGAGCCCCCTGGCACGCTGCGGTTACCGAGGGTGAGGGCTCTGGGGGTGTGGGCAAATTGGCTGGAGTCCCCAGCGGTCTCTGCGACCTGAGAGGCTGTGCCTTGGGGCTGGTGGGGGCTGTGGAGGGAGGAGACTGTGTCCTTTCTCTCCATGGCCAGCGAGGGACATCGCTCACCCTGCCTGCGCCCTGTAACTCTTACTGGGCTCTCTGGCCTCTTCCTTCCCCCTTGGTGCGGAGAAGGCCCTGTTCAGATCCCGCCCCTGCCCAGACAGGCCCACCCACCCAGGCCTGCCATGTGCTGCAGTCTCCGGCTGTGGGCCTCTGCTTTGCCTCTCAGGTTGGGGGAGCAGCCACCTGGTCTTACCTGTCTTCAGACAAATTGAAAACTCCCACTCCGCTGCCTTGGGGTGCGTCTTCCTGGAGCGTGGACCCAGGCTCTCAGATGCTCCGACTTTCCTGGCTCTTTCCCTAAGCTCTTTCCCTGTCGCCTGGCTGTCCATGGACCAAGACCTGGTCTCCTCCAGGGTCCCTGTTCTACAGAGGGGGAAAAGCCGGCCTGCCACCCCTCCTCTGGCCTCTTAGTGAAGACCAGGTTGCTATCCCCACTGGCCCTGTGTAATGGCACTGCCAGAGCCCCTGGTCTGTTGGTGACTCAAGCCCCCTTTGCCTCTCCCAATCTGAGCCTGAAAGTGCCCCGTCCAGCCACCTCCCTCCCACCCTGGTGGGAATTCCTCTGCAGCACAAGCCCCAACCCCGAGTGTGTTACTTGTGAGGTGGCTGTTCAGTGTCCTGCAACTGCAGCTCTTGTTTCATTCAGCTAGCCGCTGTGGCTTGCCTCTGTCACCCCCTTGGGTCCTTGTGTGTCATTGGAGCCACATAGAGCAAGTGCATTCTTTCATTCCTTCCAACAACCTTTCTCAATGCACCAAGGGAGACAGGGGAGACTGGGCCATGGAAACATCAGACAGCACTCCTGCCCTGCTCTTGTGGAGTGCACACTCTAGAAAGGAGCACCAGCCGAGAAGTAAGCAAACACATGGCATCTCAGGGGGTGAGAAGAGCTATGGAGAAAAAGAAAACAGGCCAGGATGGGTGCTGTGGTTGGGGGTGGCAGTTTTGTATAGCATAGACAGGGAAAGCCTCTTGAGAGGGTGACCTAAGGAGGTGAGGGACAAGCCAGGTGACTATTTTTTTGGGGGGGGGCGTAGAGAGAATGTCCATCAAGCAAAGAGCTGGTGCAAATGTCCTGAGGCAGGAGTATGACAGGCAGGAGCAGGCCTGACTTGTTCTCGGAAGGAGGATGAGGCCAGTGTAGCTGGGCCAGGAGTGGGTGAGGAATTAGGAGGAAGTGAGTGCAGAAAGGTAAGTGGCAGGAAGCTGAGTGTTCACTGCATGGGTCATTGAAGGTGACCGTGTGGGCCACCACAGGGCTCTGAGCGAGGGAGTCCACCTGCTCTGCCTTAGCAGGTTCAGCTAGCTGTGAGGCTGAGAGTGGACGGTAGGGCATGAGGGAACAGGAGGACACAGTGAAGGGGGACCACGCAGGACAGAGATTTCAGATTCAGTGAGTATTCTGAAGCTTGGGTTGCTAGGATGTGGGGTGCAGGAGAAAGGTAGAGCCTAGGAGGATGCTGAGGCTTTGGCTTGAGCACCTAGAAGTCTGGGGCTGCCATCGCTGAGATGGGGCTGTTTAGGGGGAAGGTCAGGGCTTTGGTTTTGTGCTTTTCCAGCTTGAGATGCCCCCAGACATCCATGTGGTGTCGAGTGGGCCACTGGGAAGAGTGAGGGGCGGGATCGGAGCTGGTGAGGACAGTTTAGGCATCGTCACCGTGAGGCGGTATTTCAAGCCAGGAGAGCAGGTGGGCTCACTCGGGGAGGGGGCATGGAGGAGAGGTCTGTCCTTGAGCTCTGCGGCCCCAGGACCAGGAACCAGCCAGAGAGAGAGAGAGAGAGAGAGAGAGAGAGAGAGAGAG